GCAATGAAGATGGTTTAAAATAACTATTTTCTTAAATTATTAAGAAGTATTCTTGTATCTTTAGTTGCTTTTCCTTTAAAAATTATTTGTAAATCAATCTTAGAAAAATAGTATTTTGGGCTCCAGCAACACTGAGATCCCATCTGAGCCCCTGTTGCTGGCTTAGATGCTCCATTTCCAATCCAGCTCCCTGCTAATGGCCTTGAAAAACCAATGGAGATGGTCCAAGGGTTTGGGCCCCTGCCGCTCACGCTGGAGACTGGGATAAAACTGGCCCAGGCCTGACCATTACTGTCAGTTGGGGAGTGAACCAGTGGATAGAAGATCTTTTGGTCTCCTTCTGTCTCTGTAACTCTCACTTTCAAATAAATAAATAAATATTAAAAAATTGTAATTGGATGATTTTGTATGTTAGAGAATGTTTGAGTTTGATGTAGTCCTTACCGTGACTGTATTCTGGTATTGTCCCCTGATTTCCACATTTCTGTCTCATATATTTATGTAACCTGTCTGGCCTCATGGACATTTAAACTTGAGATCTTTGCTTTATGTTTTCCATGTAGGGAAATATGATACTTTCAAAATTTATTTATAAAGTTCATAAGGATCAAATTTTATTTTTTGTTTTCAAGACCTTATGCATTTAAAAAGAACACTTTTCAGGAGAATGTCCTATTTTGCAAAATTTTGGTGTGTGGTTATAATGGTAGAATTTACATTGTTTAATTAGTTATTCCGCTTCCATACAGGGCTTGTGTTTATCTAATTTGTAGTTTCTTATAGAAAACATGGAGATTGTCGACAAAATGCTGAGCTGAAGCAGGTGCATTCTCAGGAAAGGATAAGAATGGGGCCAATAAAAGCCTCCTGAGGAACGAATAGTTGCATTCAGATTTTCTTCCTCTCGAGCTAATGTAGCTGATTTGAAAGGAAATGACTGCTTCGCTGATTTAAGACACCGTGATGATTTGTACTAACCTTCCTCTGGTGGGCAATTTCATTCTCACTCGTATAGCCCCCAAGGAGCTGCATGGGTGCACACTGGAGGGCTTCCTGACCCAAGTTCATATACAGTGTAATTTAAATAAAAACCCCGATTAGGATCTGTGCTGCTCTGATTTAAATGATAGGAAAACCTGATATGTGTGGAAGGGCAGAAGGCAAGTGTATGTGTTTTCCTCCCTCTATTTGGTTGGTGATATATATATATATTAATATATATAACAAAAATACATTAACTGATGTTGATTATAAACGTTAAATGATTGAGAAAGTGAAAATAGAAGATCAAGTAAGTTAGAAGCAAAAATAGAGTATCAAAAATATTAACGAGACTAATTTACGGGTTTGCTAGTTTATGTATCATATCTGCTACAATATAGACTGTTTCAATGTGTGTGCATGTGTGTGTGTGTATGCACATGTGGGTGTCATGTTATTCATCTGAGTATCACTGAAAGTTAAATATCAACGATCTTAAAACCTATTGTATTTGTATTGCTAAATGCCCTACTTTGAATTTCTCAGTGGGTCTATTAATTTTCCTATGAGATGATTTTAGATAAGAAGCATACTCTGAATGATTAGGACACTTTTAAGCTTTATCCTATTAGCAATCTAGCTCCTGGTAATATATACCCTATCCTAAAATCCACTTTATTAAATCCTGATACTCCTCTGAAATGTGAGCAAAGGGAGTGAGTGTTAAGGCAAAGTCCATTGGTTCCAAATTTATAACAGGGTCCTTTACCACCTTCAGTTCTGCCTGCTGTGTTCTAAATTATGGGCTTTTAAGGGCAATACACACCAATAGAAAGGAATAATGATTTTAATATTTGACAGTGTGCTCTTTTCCATTCATAGCTGAGATAGCAAGCAGTTGGAAAAATAAATCATAAATAGTAAAACCTTTATAGCTCTGCTATCTCAATTGTCATGTCTTAAGAGCACAGTGGTTTATGGGTGAATGGCATTCATTGTTTGAAATAAGACATGCAACCTCCCTCCCTTTGTAGGGCCTAGATTCCCCTTATCTGGCTCTATGTTTTCCCTACATTACTTACCATCGTGTAATCAAATGTGAAATGCATACATTGATTGGGTTCATTTCTTCTGCTCACAGAAGGTAAACTCTGTAGGGAGGAGGGATGGTTTTGACTTTTTTTTTTTTTTTTGCCTACATAGTCACATAATTAGGCAATCCATAGTGTTGATTGAATGAAAAATGGACATGAAACATTATGTCAGCATAATGTGCTAATAGTTGGAACCAAAACCTTGAATATGCCGATTCTGGAGCTAGTGAAGAAGTTTGGATTCCATTATTTACTTTATTAGATTATATTTTTAGGAGGCTGAGAAAAACTGAGGACTAGTCATCAACAAAATATGTTTCCCATGTCTAACCACCTCTGTGTCTTCTCTTCCTAGCCTCCAATTCTCTCCCAATAGGGATCACTACTCTTCCTATCTGCTCAAGCAGAACTCCATCCTGGATTGTGTAGTTCAGGTTCCTCATTCCCTCAGGGGGCTATGTGTGGGAGGCAGGGATCATTGATTTCTGTTTCTGTTTTTTGTTTGTTAGTTTGTTTTTAAATCCAGACACAGGGCTTGGTATCTAGAAGACACTCAATTCCAGAGGAAATGGCGGGGGAGGGATTTTGAAGGAAAGGAGAGGGAAAGGGGAACAGTGGGAGAGAGGAATAAAAGGCTAGCGAGGTAGTGGTCGTTGCTTTCTTAATCAGGAGAGAATATCTGGCCAGCGGAAGGATGTTGGCATCACAATAAGCTTTCTTGAGAGGTTGATTTGATGAATGAATTCAGATCATGTCATGAGCACCTCTGTGCGTCATTTCTTATTCTAGGCACCAAGTCTGCTGCCGTGAGCAAAGGATAATAAGCTCCTTTATGGAACTTAAGATTTTGGGGGGAGGAGACAGAAACAAGGGAGGTGTAACACTATTCATGTGCAATAACATGTAAAATAATGTGAAATAGAGATGAGATTGATGTAAATGGTAAAACTACATAAATTGTATAAATGTGTAACATGATACAGAACTTGGGGATGTTTAAGGCAAGCAGTACTGAAATCGTGGAAAGCCTCCGCGTTGTGCCTGATGCCTCAGAATTCTCCTTCTAACACGCTCTGGGCAGTGTCTCAGGATGGGAAACACACAATGAATCACGCCAGGAGTGGCACTGATCACGTACATGTGTTCATCCACCCACACGGAATTGTGCAGGGAGCAATTTGTATTGACCTCCAGGGCGCCCCTCTCCTCTGTGTGTGTAAAAACACCAGGCTGCTGAGGGAGGCTGAGATCCTTGGGAGGCTTCCAGTGTGTGGGCCTCCTCCGTATGCAGCTGGGCAAGACCCAGCTTCTTAACTGAGAACGCAATTAACATGGTTTGAGAACTTACGACCAAATTCACTTTTCCAGACTTTTGGTTAAAAAATGACTTGAATCTGATGCAGTCTCCAGCAGTTTCAGGAAGCCAACAATTTGAGTTTTGTAATGAACTGGAGAAGCTTCCAGAATGTGGATACCAGTAGCTGACTGACCCAGCTATGGCCATATGAAAAGGAATCAGCTATTGTCTTTACTTTAATAGAAGCGAGTTATTTTGCCTGTGTAGGGAAGAGTGTACTTAGAGTGTCACAGTGTTTTGTGGTAGAGGAAAAAAACACACATAATTACAGTGAGTGACGCAGAGTAACAGTGTTACTGTAGTACATAAGATTTTGATTACCTACTGCTAAGATTCATAGCATCGCAGCAGTTGTTGACAGATAAAGCAATGAAAATGAGGCTCGTTTAGATTTTTCTTTATTGAGACTGGAAGGTAAAGCAGACTTTCAGTTCTTGTGCTTACCACATTGACAGAACAGAGACTGACAGCAAAAATGTGCCAATCCAGAAATAGAAATTAAACCAGGTTCACATCAAAATTTCATTTAGCCTTGGAAAAGGAGCTGCTTTTTGGATTACTTTTGATCCTAAGACAAACACACTGTGGGGTATCACAGTATACCTGGTGTGTATTAACCCTTCCCTGGGACGGAGCATTCAAAGTTGTTGTCCCTCCACGATCCTTTACTTCTTTTGCAATGTTAGGCAACTTGTTTTATCATCAGAGTGGATTCCATTTTGCTGAAATGCAAATAACTGGCAACAGACATAAACATTTCAGGCTGCAGGAAGCACGAAACTAGATGTGGAAAATTGATAGCAGATCTTTTTCTCTCTTACAGAATCATACCAGCTCTACAATTTGGTTATGAAAATGAGGACAGAATAAATGGGAGTTGTGAAGTGTGAAATTTCAATTTTTGTCTTGAGATTTTTGATTGTGGTGGTTAAAATTTCTGACAATAATTTGTACTTTAAATTTTTGTTTCTTAACTTGATGTTAGAAAGATCTGTAAGTGGGTTGCTCCTCCTTTCTCCCACCTCCTTCCTCTCCCTCTCCCTCCCTCCCTCTCTCACTTCCTTCATTCCTTTTTATCTTTCTTTTGATTCAACACTGATTCAACCAAAATGTAATTTTTTCTACCGTTCCTCATAATTGAGACACTACAAAATTGTCTACAAAAAAATCTAAATCCAAAAGCTTGATAGACTTAATGAAGTAGGGAGTAAATAGAATCATCAGGGAACTGTATGCCACCACAACCCAGCAATGTTCATTTCTTGAGTATATCCTAAACATAGTTTGGCTTAAGTTTCTTTTATTATTATTCTAAAGTCTGCATTTGATAATTTTCTCATTAACTTTTTAGCAATAGAACGATAGCGTGAACTTGTTTCCTGAATTACCTTTTCTGACCTTTTGCAAGATGATAATTACAAAAAAGGGAGGTCTGGAAGACTTGTAAAAAAAATAAGCTTATAAAGTAGCTAAAATGGTCCTTCTGTGCTGGTGTCGATTTCAAAATTAACATTTTGGTTCATGTGCTTCTAATAATCACTGACCCTTACCTCATGTACTTTCCACAGGAAATGAATACAGCAGAAATTACTTTGACCCACTGATGGATGAGGAAATAAACCCAAGGCAGTGTGGGATGGAGGTCAGCAGAGAGGGTGAGCTAGAATTAAGTATGTAATTTTTGTGTCAGAATATTCTTTTCCATTCATGAAAATGAGGTGACAAAGATCACACATGCAGTTCCATTTAGATTTTTGCAGCTTACAATTTAAATGGTAAGTTTTAACCACTAACAACATGACGGGCAGTGAAGGTAATTTTTGACCAAGGACAGGGAGCTGCTCAGATGAAAGCAGCAGCACTTTGCTTTCATCTGATGGTACTGTCAGCATTGGTGCTGTGATAAGGCCTGGGCTGTGCAGTTGAGGGGCATCATCACTTTACAAATGCATCCTTGCTCTTGGAATTTAAAATGAGCATCCTCCATACAATGTGTCTAGCATGTGAGAGTTCCACGCCCTCTGACTGTTGAGTTCCTTTCATCGAAAGCGTGAAGCTGTCACCTAAGTTTTGAACCATGAAAGTGCAGAGATATGGTAACAATTTCCTCTCCTGTAATCTTGAATCGAGTTGTGGTTGTAAAATAACAATTCAGAATTGCCCATTGGGTGCATATCACTGTGCGTATTTTATAGCTGATGAAATATTCCTGGTTTACAAAGATTGTTGATGAGATACTGACAGTGATAAATGTTACCCAGGACGTTTGCACTCCTAAAGACCAGATTCCACCATCAGGTACCGGTCATTGGATCTGTGCTTTTTAATGAAAGACTTAGGAAAATTCTCAGAAATGAATGAGCTGGGATGTAGTATAAAGATTATTTTACAAAATTGTTCTCAATAAACTAAGCCTATTTTTAAGTTGCAACATTCACAGATATCTTCAAAATATGCTTGTGTAAGATAAGACAAGGCCCTCATTTCAGGGCCAGTTTTCACCAGCAGCTCAAAAGTCAGGCTGAATTTTAAACTGGAAAGTCTCAGCTTTTCACTCATTCCAAAACACATGAGGCGTGAAGGACAATTCCAGTGACTTCTGGATATGGCTGTCAATTGAATTGCCAGTTGAAGTCTGTTTTAATTTCTTAAAGGCCACAATATATAGTTGTATTTGATGAATTTTTTGTAACATAAAGACTCCCTAATTTTTTAAAAAATGTGATTTAATAAAATATGTTGAACAAATAAAGAATGACCAACTACAGAGTCATAAGTAAAATTTATAAAACAAAACACAGGTTGAGGACTCCTTATCTGAAATGCTTGGTACCAGGAGTATTTGAGCTTCAATTTTTTTCCAGATTTTGGCACATCTGCATTTACATGATGAGATCTCTTGAGGACAAACATGAAATCAGTTTGTTTCACATATATTTTAAACATGTAACCTGAAAGTAATTTTATACAAATAGTTTTAATAATTTTGTGCATGAAACAAAGTCTCATTGCATGGAACTTTCCACTGGTGATGTTATTTTGGCGCCTCTAAAGTTCTGAATATTTGGAGTATTCCAAATTTCACATTTTTGGATAAGGAATGGTCAGCTTATACTGTTGGCAACTTTAGCTCCTGGCTTAGTCAGCTAATATTGTCCAACTTCGGTGATGAGCTTGGCACTTTGGAGCTAGGGCAGACGGCTCTTTCTCCACATCTGTCCGTAGTCCAATCTGTATTTGCAGGTACAAAAGGCCAGGGAGCTGGCCTCCCTCTCCGGGGCAGGGTCTGCCTCAAGCTCCCTTGCTCCTTTTCTGTTGATTTGTTCTGCTTCTCCCACGCCTTTCTAATAGGCTTCCCACTTTTCTCTCTCCCTTTTCCTGTTTTGTTGTCTCATTTTTTCTTCAGTGTTTTTCATTGTTGTCTTCCCTTTCAAGTTCTTTCTTAACTGGAAGATTCCTCTTATTGTATCCTTTTTAAAAAGTTTCTGCATTCCTTGCTGTCTAGATGAAATGAACATGTTAGTTTTTTTTAATACAAATATTTGTATTTTCATTTCCTCTAAACTATTTGGTTTCTCCCAATGATTTAGGAGCATATGGTTGGAAAAAAGGTTTTCTTCAGCCTCCTAAATTCTCTTTGAAATAAATTATTATGCTTTGTATTCCTAAGACCCTGGCTAGTCATAGGATATGAAAGAGGGATAGCAGACCAAATGTGATTATTAATAGATCAGTACATTATATATTTCTAGAGTGTTTTCATAAACAATAGCATAAAGTGCACATGCTTAATAGTTAACCCTTCCACTGCACATATATCAAAAAGTTAGAATATAGTGGAAACTCCATGAGGACAGGAACTCTGTTTATTTGCTGCTCTCTCTTCAGGATTTAACATATCCTATACAATTAGTGAATGACATATGTTCCTCTGAAAACCATTGAGTAGTGGACAACCCTGCACTTTCATGTTAGTCCATGACCTTGATATGACAAGATGTCACACCTGTGAAGATTACACTGTTAATCACAGTAAGACCAGCTGCATTCCCCAATATTGCACTGTCAAATATCATTTTACAACTGATATTTGAAAATAGTTTTTTGGCTCTCTGACAAGGATATTTTGTGGTGTGTAAATTTTTCCAGGATTATAATCTGACATTTCATAAACCACTATCAGGGCAATTGAACTATCAGTTTCTCCAATGGATACCATTTATTTGAAGTCTATTTAAATGGGTTATTTTTGAAAAATATCATAATACATACTCTAATATGCTACACATAAGTAATACATAACATAATGCGGTAATTACTATAGTTTTAGAAAGGGGACATGCTTATGGAGGGATCAGTTACTCTCAGTAACTTCACATTTCTTCTACTCACAACTTTCATTGGAACATGCATTCACTCAGCATGAAGATGCAGCAATCGGTCAAAAGTTTTCCAGTGCTGAAGTTCAGTCTCCTTGTCAGAACGATGGAACAAAATGTGAAACATCCTGAACACTGTGAGAAATCACCGTGAACGATTACACTGGGCGCAGAAACTGGAAGGAGGGCTGACGAAACAGGATGACACAGGTGTAGAGAGAGCGAGTTCAACTTAGTGCCCCCACTAAAGGGCCCTGGGTCTTGAGTGGAATGCATGTGCAGATCACAGAACTTTGTGTGGCAGGATCCTGGGGATGCCCCAAACGTCTGTTTGTCCTCCTCTCTGCTTCAGTTCAGTTTTGTTTTCATGTTTGTGTACAACTGATACTCTACTTGCTGCCAAAATAAATGGAAGCAGCTTACAATACAAGCATAAATGCATAGGGCTCTAGAAAAGTCCCAGGTAAAAGGAAGGCTGAGGATGCCTACGAAAGGAAAGAACAAATGTAGAAGGCAATAGGACAATATTATTGTTGTACGTAAGCACCCTTTATACGTTGAGCCTCCTGGAAGTCAAGACATAAGGGAAATAGAATAGGTAGGCAATTTTCAATATTTGATAGAAATTACACTTTCTTTCAGAGTTCATATGATGCCACCACTATTTTATGTTTTTACACTGAATTCTGGAAGAGTCATATGGTGGCAGTTCGATATAACAGAGGTTTTAAACATGCTGACACTGCTTTATCACTAGTTCCTGGTACTTACTTAATAGAGAATTCTGATTTCAGGGCCACTACAGAGTACATGGGCAACGGTTTGTTATTTTACAGATGAACTGAAATAGGTACTATTAGCTTGTAGCTAGTACTCTCCAAGGAGGTCTACCCAATGTGTATAATATGGATAATATTATACTTTATACATATGTGAGTGAAAGAGACAGGTATTAAGGAACTGGCTTACTCAGTTGTGGGGACTGGCAATTCTGTAAGTCTCTTTGTAGGGCAGGCTGGAATGCAGGAAATTCGGGTAAGAACTAGTGTGAATTTGAGGTGAGAACTGATGTTTCCATCTTGAGTTTGAGTCCTGCAGGGAGAAGCCTTCTTGGGAGCTTCCAGGCTTTCCTCTTACAGCCCTTAATTGATTGTGCAAGGACCCCCACATTACAGACATTGACCTATTAAGTCTGCTACCAAATGCTAACCTTGACTCAAACTGAGTTTTCAAATGTTAACTTCTGAAAAATACCTTCACAACAACTAGAACAGGGTTTGATCCAACACCTGAGAACCACAGCCAGGCTGCCTTGATATGAAAAGTGAACCATTCCAGGTTGCATTTAATAATCATTTATTCATTCATTCACAATATGGGAGAATTTCAAAAGTTCATAAAAATGAAATTAAAAGATCAAGTTGCAAAAATTTCTTGAAATCCATGCATGTTTTTTTCATAATATGCATTTCCATAAACTTTCTGAAAATCCTGCTTATAAATAGGCTTAAATTTTTTTCAAAAATTTAATAATAGTATATGTTTGGGGGCCACAGTGTGATATTTCAAAACACGAATACAATGTGTACTGATCAAATCAGGATAAGCAACATTGCTTCTTTGACATTTTTTTGAACCAAAATAACCTATTTTGTAATTATATTCAGTATACAGTATGTATGATTATATTGTAATTATGTAACTGTAATTATATTCCATTTCTATGAATTTTTGAAGCACCCTAATAATACCTTCCAGGGTGATGACAGCCTGGTGATTTGACATACTAAGTGTGGTCCCCTAATCACCAAACCTAACAAACCTGAGCTCTGCCACTTTCCCTTATCTGTGGCTTATTTCTTTTGGCATGGATCCTTCTCATTATTTATTTATAACTATAATTGTTTCTCCAGTGATCCTTTTCTGCACTGGACCTTAAATATCCTTAGGACCTGGGCCGGTGCTGTGGTGTAGCAGGTAAAGCCATCATCTGCAGTGCCAGCAAACCACATGGACGCTGGTTCTAGTCCTGGCTGCTCCACTTCCGATCCAGCTCTCTGCCATGGTTTGGGAAAGCGGTGGAGGATGGCCCAAGTCCTTAGGCCCCTGCACCCATGTGGGAGATCTGGTAGAAGCTCCAGGCTCCTGGCTTTGGATTGGCACAGCTCCAACTGTTATGGCCATCTGGGAAGTGAACCAGTGGATGGAAGACTCTCTCTCTCTCTCTCTCTCTCTCTCTCTCTCTCTCTCTTCATTTGCCTTTCTGTAACTCTGATTTTGAAATAAATAAATAAATAAATCTTCCTTAGGACCTGACAGTGCTTGGCCAATAGATGATGGTCAATACTTCCTTGCAGACATGAAAATAACAAGATCCATTCAATCGCAGACACTGTCGTCTCTCAGCACCTGCACTGCTCACACTCAGTCTCAAGGGAGCATCAGCTCCTGCCCGAGATTGCTGACTGCTTTGGTGCTCGCTCATCCAGTCCTGCCCCTTCAGTGCATTCCGTACACACAGCCCAGAGTGCTTGTCTTCCAAATCCATCAGATCTTGCAGCTCCTGTATGAAAGCCCTCTCATTGCTGCCATTGCTTTCAGGGGAAACAGCGTACAGTGCTTAATGAGGGGCCACCTCACGAGAGGTGTGTCAGGAGGTTTTGTCATTGTGTGAACATCATAGAGTGTGCTCACACAAACCTGGAGAGCATAGCCTATGACGCATGGGACCACCATGTATGTGCTGTCTGTCATTGACGGAAACCTTGTTATGTGGTGCATGCCTGTTCTTTCCTGCCATATCTCAACTCTGATCTGCTTGCTCACCGTACTGTAGCCACACTGGACTTTTTTGTTCCTCATTGCATGGCGCTCCTTTCCTCCTTCCAAACTCTTAAACCTCAGCAGTGCAGGGATAGTTCCTTTCCCACTTTACCTGGTCAATATCCTCTCTCTCTCTCTCTCTCTCTCTTTTTTTTTTTTTTTTTTTTTGGACAGGCAGAGTGGACGGTGAGAGAGAGAGAGAGAGAGCCTTTTGCTGTTGGTTCACCCTCCAATGGCTGCCGCGGCCGGCGCGCTGTGGCCGGCGCACCGAGCTGATCCGATGGCAGGAGCCAGGTGCTTCTCCTGGTCTCCCATGGGGTGCAGGGCCCAAGAACTTGGGCCATCCTCCATTGCACTCCTGGGCCACAGCAGAGAGCTGGACTGGAAGAGGGGCAACCGGGACTAGAACCTGGTGTGCCGGCGCCGCAAGGCGGAGGATTAGCCTAGTGAGCCGCGGCTCCAGCCTAATATCCTCTCTTCTTAAAGGTTCAACTGAAATATCCATTCTTAACTCCTTTGACTAACCTGTATGATTCCCCATTTATGCCTCCTTTATAGAGCTCATCATGAGGATCAGCAAAGTATTTACTAGTGCAGTTATCTGTGAATGTTTTTCTCCCCTTTTAGATCAGTTCTTGGACATGTAGAGGACACAGATCATGTGTACTATGTTCACTAATAATTTTCTTGGAGTCTAAAACAACAATTGATATATGGCAAATTCTCCATAAATATTTATTGAATTAATAAATAAATAAAATAGCTAAGTGTAAAATGCTGAAAATAGTATCTAGCATGTAGTCAGACTACTATAAACATTAGTGATTATTATTTATTGACTGCACAAGGAGTGTTTGGGGTTGGATAGGGTTACTGACCAAGCAACACAAAACTCTCCAAGAGAGAGAAAAAGAGAGAGAGAGACAGAGAAAATATACCACATTTGGGGCTCACTCCCCAAATACCTGCAACAGCCAGATCAAAATCAGGCTGGATCCAGGAGCCAGGGACTGAACCTAGGTTTCTAATGTGGGTGGTTGGGACTCAAGTACTTGAGTCATCACCTGCTGCCTCCCAGGGTGTCCATCAACAGGAAGCTAGAGTCAGGAGTGGAGCTGGGAGACAAACATGGGCACTCAGATATGGGATGGGGATTTCTCAGTGGCATTTTAATGTCTTCACCAAATTCCTGCCCCTCATTCTCATTTTGAAGTTGAAGAAGCAGGCTTAGATTCATTTAGCTTTTAAGATCACAAAGATCTGCCAAGTATGATATAGAACTCAGACTTCCCACTCTCTGGCACTGTCTGTTTTCTCCTCTCAGGAGCTGCATCTGTTGACTTGCTCTACTCTTCCCTTTAAGGAGAACTTCTGAAGGAGATGAAGCAGATTAATTCAAATAGTTTTGTTTGAATTTGAAGGGGACATTCTCTTGTCCTCAGTTTCTGTTTTGTAATCTGTGTGACCTTCCAGGAGTTAGTCTTATTTGGGCAGCCCTAAGAGGGCCTGCTCATCTGTTCTGCCTACCTGAAGAACCAGAACGTCTACAGCAAACATTGATTAGGTCCCTCCATTCAGGTTTCCCTCAGATAATCCCATAAAATGTTTAAAACTCATCACTGCATGGTAAAAGCAAAAATACTAGTTTAGAATGTCAGCTATTGAAAAATATTGCACTTCATGCAATTACTAAGTGGTTAACAACAAGCAAGCAAATCAGTGGAGATGGCTGAATGTCTATTATATGCCAGGCATGAAGTTAGGTTCTCTGTGCATGTTATCTTGTTAACCCTTACACCCATCCCATTTCACGGAAAAGGAGATAAAAGCCATGAATTCCTAAGAAACAGCTTAGAACCAAGTTTGATGAACTAGTGAGTTGTAGTGCTGGAACATGGATGCTGGTTTGGTTAATATCATATGTAAACCATGCTGCCTGTCTTCTGAAGGTTTTATTCCATCTGCAAAGAATCCCTTATCTTCAGATGTGATGTTGCTGTATCTTAAATTTTATGAGCTGTATATAAGTTTGGTGAATTTGTAGCTGTCACACTAAGAGTTATAAAGATCCAAGCAATTTTGAAATTTAAATTTGCTTCCCTAAGATATAATCTACAAAATATTTTCCAGGAATGGCCCTTCTCCCCCATCCCTGAATGTGAGGGTGGAAGGAAGTTTGTGCTGGCTTTTGGAAGCGAAAGAACATGTGCAAGTCAATTGATACTTGACAGTCTTCTGGAGGGTGCAGTGGATGAAAGCTATCCGCTTCCTAGACTTTTTCAGGTCAAACATCCCATCTGCCCCAGAAGCCTACTCTTTCTTGCTTAGTCATTCTAAGATGATGATGATTTACTGCGTTGGCATTTTTCCCCAAAGCCAATGTTTAGGGGATGTCAGGCATGGTCAGAAGCAGACTTTTAAGTTTCTTAAGCCTTTAAGTTGGAGAACAAGGACATCAGAAGGCTCTTCTGGAATAGTTGTTGGCGTTTCAGATGTGAATTGCCACATTTACTATCGTCTTTAGAATTGGCCCAACCAAGAGATGCAAAGTGATAAGCAGTAGAAATACAAAGACCACATTAAAACCAGCACAGTAGAAGTATAACCGTAGTTCATTTAGTCCCCTTCCATGGGAAGGGGATGGTATTTGATATATTGATGTAAGACTAGAGTCATCATCCAACTTGGGGCTATTTATATATGATTCACCTCGGAACAGGATGTCTACTTGGATGAGCTTTTAAATCCTCTCCCCGAACCATGTTTTACATTTAGGTTTTCTTTTCAAGTTTTGGAGAGGAGGCAGATAATGACACGGCCTTGTTGCTTTAAATTCACAAATGATTTAAGAAATCCTTGTATTGGATATTATACTGCAATAGCATACATAAAAGAATCCAGGACCACCTAAGTTTGTTGTTTCTTACATAAAGGCAGTAAAAGAATGATATATAGAGAGTAGCTAATGAGAAACACTCATTCATTTTGATCAAACACTTACATATTCTATTGTATGACTTGACAAACCATAATGGCTTGGTCTGAAATTATTCTTGTGTAATAGATGTCATAAACCATTGAATGTGAAATCCTTTTCATTGGAGAAGTATCCTATTATGCAAGTCTTGCAATATACATTTAAAAATCATTGTTCCAATTATCATTGATTTATAAAAGGCTTTTTTTTCTGAACAAGGCAGTGTATTGAATAGAATTTGTATCTATGACCCCTAATATAACTAAATAGCCATGATGATTAATAATTTCCTTTTGTAATTACATTTGCATCTCTGTAAATTGGCTGGTGAGAATGTTATCATGCATATGTTCTTTTGACATCCTTACAAGGTGATGACGCAATTCTCTATAATCGATTAATGAAGCTGTTTGATGATAGTAGACAAGGAGAACCACAAGGTAAGACAGCAATTATTCTTAATCTTTTATATTGGCATTGGTTACAAATTGATTGATATGGTTTTTTGCATATGCTAACCTGTATTTCCAAATATAACTGTTCACTGATGCTCTATGTGTGCTTTCAATGGTTGCAAATATTTAAGTGTAGCTAAAGTTTTGGGGAAAAGTAATTATGTCCCAATTTCCTATAATTGCATACCATTTATAACCCGAAATGACAAAAATTATTTAAGGCTTACTATTGCAGGCTCCTACAATGGCATATGGCATATTTGGATTTCCCAATTTGTAAGGTCATATGTTACTACTATTTTAAAATATTGTGCCTCTGTTTTTAAACACATTCTTCAGGGGCAGTAGAAAACAGTATCTTGTTTTCAACCTTAGCATGAGAATTCATACTTGCAAAGATTATGATCTTTAAGAAATTATTATATGTATTAAACTAGGCATTTAGAGGTAAGTCTTTAAAAGCTAGATTCTAAATTCTTAGTTTAACATATAAATTCATGCTAGAAACATTTTGTAGTTTTTAACGAAGTATTAAGTGTCAGTTGCAATTTGCGTATATGTTGAAGTTTATAGAAAATGATTCTATAATTTTTTTCATACTGTAAACTTAGTTTTTCTCAATCATCTTGTCTTTCTTATTAAACCAACTCCTTAAAGTACCAAAGAGGAGAAGAGTCTGATCATGAGGAAATTTTCTAAGTTAGCCACTCAAGCATGGTGTCTCTGCTCTGCTCTTCAGACCAAAATCCTTCCCCTTTGAGACACTTCAGTGTTCAAAGCTCTTCAACTGATTCGATGAGGTCCACATGCATTATGAAGGGTTATCTGCTTCACTCAAGGTCTGCTGATTTAAAATTCAATGACACCCAAAACTGACCTCTACAGCCACATCTAGACTAGTGTTCAACCAAGCTACCAGTCACCAAAGCTTAGTTAAGTTGATAATGTATAATTAAGTGAGATTTCTATATATTTAATCTCATTCTGATGAAATGTAAGAGGGTGCTTCAAAAAGTTCATGAAAGAAAGAAAGAAGGAAGGAAGGAAGGAAGGGAGGGAGAGAGGGAGGGAGGGAGGGAAGGAAGGAAGGAAGGAAGGAAGGAAGGAAGGAAGGAAGGAGGAAAAATTTCATTATGTTCTTAGAATTTTACCCATGAACTACATTGAATCTGTTTGCTCTATATTAATTAAAATGGTTATGGGGGTTAAAAGATAAGTTTATTCTTGTACAAGAAGATTTTTAAAATTCATGCACAGATTTTTTGTAATAAGCATTTTAATGGACTTTTTGAATGTCCCACATAGATTTCAAAAAATTTTTACTCCAAGAACTTATCTCTTAATTCCATTTCCTTATAAGCTTATATTTAAAAATATTTTAATCCTGGGATGGGTGTTGTGGAATAGCAGGTTAAACCATGCTTGGGATGCCGGCATACTCTATCAGAGTGCTTATTTGCAGCTCAGCATCTATGCTTCTGATCCAATTGCCTGAAAATGCATCTTGGGAGGCACCATATGACAGCCCAAGTTCTTGGGTCCTTGCAGTCCACATGGGATACCCAGATGGGATTCTTGACTTCTGGCTTTAGTCTTGTCCAGTTCTAGCTAGTGTGGGCATTTAGAGAATGAAACAGCAGATGGAAGACTTCTCTCTCGCTCTTTCTCCCTCTGTGTCACTCTGCTTTTCAAGTAGATGAAAATAAAGAAATAAGTCTTAAAATTATTTATTTTAATTTTATTTGAAAGAGTGACAAAGGGGGAGGAAGAGTGATAGAGACTTTCCATCTGCCAGTTCACTCCCCAAATTCCAACAACAGCCAGGGTTGGGCCAGGCCAAAACCAGGAACCCAGAGCTCAATCTGGCTCTCTCATGTGGGTGTTAAGGATCCAAGCACTTGATCCATCATCTGGTACCTTAGAAGTTGAGCTGAGCTGAGTCCTTATACCAAGCACTCTGATAAGGAATGAGAGTGTCCTAGGGAGGAACTTAAGCCATTGCACCAAGCGCCCACCCCTCTACTAACTATTTGAAGTATACTTGTAAATAGAACAACTTTTTGTGCTAGACATTATACAGTACACTTTTATGCCTATTTTATTCTCTTCTATTCTGGATTGATTTTCAGCTTGGATTCTTTGAAATCTCTCAAATCATGCATTTACAGATAGCACTTAATAGATCTTTTATAATATTTTGTGGAATCACAAAAGTCTTATAGAATTTATGGAATAGTAAGTCTCTTTGTGCACTGCTTTAACATTTATGGATGTTACAGCCTTTGAAAGTTTAACAACTTATGCAAAGCAATACAGTGTCTCCACCAGCAGAGTAAGTGGACAGCTCCTTTCTGGACAGCCTAGTGTCTTTGCAGTACCCCAACTTGTTTCCCTCCAGCAAAAGGATCTATCTTCCAATGGTTCTTGTTAAATTCTAGCACTGAAGACAGGGCAGTCTTGTATTACAACTTTCAGCATTTTTTAGACATTAGAAGAGGGAGGATTATTTTATGTTTAGAGCATGCAACTGGCTAGGCGAATAGATGCGTTTTGTAGATGATACTGTTTTCAAATGGTAGAGAGATACAGAAGTAAAGCACATATTCTGTTTATATCAATGGTGGCATTTCTATGCAAATACACAAGGTAGCCCAAATAAAGTGCCTCAACTGTTGTTGGGGATCCTAACTTAGGAAAATGAATCAAAGATTTCTGACTTATCCAAACCTATATACCTCCTAAATTAGTTCAAGAAGATAGCAAGGGAGTGGTAAAATGTTGAAGTAACAACATGTGATATTAACAAAGGGAAAAGTACACTCTCTACCTTCAGGTTATATTTAGTGAGTGGGGAAAAGGCTTTAATGCATAGCTATACTTTGTTCACTTTGGAATCATTGTGGGATGAACAAAGGTTTTTGTTGTTTGTTAACCTGAAAATTTCTCCTAGGCTTTAGTGATTTCCTGTGCATTAAATAGTACATAATTTGCTAAACTAGATTATGAGAAATAAGACTTAATCCCATATTAGGAAAAAGGTGGTTAGTCTACTGAGGCTCAGCCAACATTAATGTGACAAAAGCACATGTAAATCCATGTAATATTTTTGGAATAAACAGATGGGAGCACCAGGGAGGAAACTTTGGATTCTGAAGCACCCAAGAGTTCCAAGAATCAGGAAATCTACAAAGAAGCTGATGAAGCCACCCCTTCTTACATCGAAGAGTTTGAAAAATACGCTCAAAAAGATGTAATTCTACTTGGGAGTTCAGCATTGCAACAGGTCAGCATTAAAATTGTATCAAAAACTGTAAGCTTATCTGTTTTTTTATAACATTGCAGGTGAAATGTCAACCCTACACAGTCTACTGATTTTGTTTCCTAGCACACCTTTTTTGGAGTACACAGAATATGAATTCAATGAATCTTTCCCCTTATTTTAAACACAGAAGTTGCACTCTTTATCATTCTCTATACTGGTGGCAACATTTGATGTAGTGGTCAAGATGCCAGTTTAAATGTATGCATCCCTTATCAGACTATCTGGGTTGAATATCCAGCTCTGGCTTCTGACTCCAGCTTCCTGCTAATGCAGCCCCTAGGAGGCAGTGGTGATGGCTCAAGTGATTGGGTTCCTACCACTCATGTGGGAGAACTGAATTGAGTTCCAGCTCCTATATTTGGTCCTGGCTTAGCTCAGGCTGTTGGGATGTAAGCCAGCAAATACAGTGTTCTCTTTCCCTCTCTCTGTCTTTCTTTGTCTCTCAAAACTATCCTTTTTGGTGTTGCACAATTTAATTTCACCTCATTTGATTTTATTTGGTATTACAATGATTATTTATTGCATATTACAAAATATCCACAATGAAACCTGTAACCAGCATAAAATGGCTTGGATAAAATTGAGAGAAATTAGTTGTACTTCTTTGCACAAGCCCTCTATTACCATGTGAATATTATCACATGCCATTTAGAGGTGGGGATGCAGTTTGAGAAATGTGTCCTTAGGAGATTCCATTGCTATGTAAATGTCACAGAGTGCACTTACAAGAGCTAGGGTGTCTATGATGTCACTACATGATATGATCTTATGGGACCTCCATGATAAGCTCTGTCATTGACCAACATGTTTTGTGGCACATGACAATATGTGTGAAGTCACCATATAAGCAATATAACTTGGACATTCTAACTGTTTTGACTTGTGCCACACAAGAGAATCTTAGCCCACAGATTGCCTTGACTTCAGAAACATTTGTTTTAATTTCTATGTCTATAGATTCTACTTATGTGTAATACTCATACAATATAATTCACTCTCATTGATCAAACACAGGAAAAGGATTTTGTCTATGTGGTCACTTTATCTCTCTAGAAAGAAGAATCTCGTATGTTTAGCTTCAGAGGAAGTGTGTCTGTGTGTTGTATTTGCTAAAGGTAAGCTGACTCAGGCTAAAGAGGAAAAGATTTCACCAGATGAAAACAACTATTATCAATGCCACTTTTTATAATAACAGGTCACAGATGGAAATGTTATTTCCAACTTCAGAAATGGGAAGAATCTTAGTTGGGGTAGGGAAGGTAGTATTCTATAATTTGGAGTGTGGAAATTCCGTAACAGCCTTTAATTTCTTCATTTGTGCCACTTAGATATGAATATCCTCAGTGCATTAAGGTTACGTCTATTTTGAGCTTTCTCAAGTAAGTGACCCGAATTAACAAGTACAGCCTTTCCTAACATAGCCACGTAGATGGCTCCAGTAGTGGGCTGAATTGTGTTCTTCAAACTCCTAGCCACTGGTACCTGTGAATGTGACCCAGTTTGGAAATACAGTCTTTGCAGATATGGTTGACTTAATGCTCTTGAGAGAGGATGATCCTGGAGTTAAGGTGGGTCCTCCATCTAATAATGATGCCCTTTCAAGTCGAAGGGGAGATAGATTTTGAGGCACAGACATACACAGAGGGCAAGACCATGTGAAGACAGATGCAGAGTTGGGAATGATGCATCTATAGCAAAGAAACATCTAGAAAAGCCACGTTCACCAGAAACTAGGAGAAAGACGTGGCATGGGTTCTCCCCTAGAGCCTCAACCTGGAACCAACTCTAGCAACACCTTGATTTCAGATCTCCGGTAACCAGACTGTAAGAAAATAAGTTTCTGCTGTTTCAACCCATCACATATTACTAATTTTTTAATGGCAGCGATGAATAGTACAGATCTTAAGGTAGTGGAACTCAGTGAGTGAGGCTCCAGCTCCTCACTGGTTTATCAGCAGTGCCTCACATCTTCATGAAGACAGGGCTCTGACAGGTGAATGATGCATGGCTCTGCTGTTGCATATAATCGTTTTTAAAATTCAGATTACATTCTCATAGATGAATTGCTCAATATACCCATTGTTTTACACACTATTGTATTGGTGCTATTGTATGTGTTTCAATTTACTGCATGCTTTCAAGAATGGCGACATGGATTCCTTTAGCATATGTGATTGCTACGTTTTATCTCCTCATTCTGTAAAAGATTAGCAGAGGAGCAGAAGGTTCACCTGTGTTGTTGTGAAGCTATCACACAAAGGGCCAGCACAGAGTCTAGGAGCCCCGTGAGAGTAAACAGACTCATGGGAATTCTAGTGTTTCACAAATGTGACCACTATTTCCTCCGAGCAGTGAAATTTTCCTTCCTAACTCCTCCCCTAATCTATGTCTTAAATTATGTGAAATTCAACCAACACCGATTGCCTAAATAATTGTGAAAGAATCGTATCCTGGTGTCTGAACCTGAACACATGGACAGATTCGTATGAGGAAAGGAATCAGACCTGTGTCTGACCCCTGGGTTTGCCATTTCTTGAGTATTGGTTCACAGGCAAGTCAGTAAACTTCCTTGACTTTGGTTTTCTCATCTGCAATTTGAGAGGAACTAGATTGATTCCATTGCATTGTTTGGAAGATGAGATGAAGCATCCATAACTAATCTAGCACAAAGTAGTTGATGATTACAGAGCAGGAGGCAATATAGAGAGAAGATTCCAGTGCCTATTCTCAGACCAATGCTCTCAATGTCCTTAAGTTTACTTTATCAGAATGTTATTTAAAAGTACAAGGTAGCTCTGTATGCAGGAAGAATCTTCAGATTTGGTGTTAGATATCATAGCTTCCACCTTTGACTGTGGTGTTTATATGATTTACCTCTGTGTAAAATAGGGCTACATAAATTGAACCTTCCATAAGTATGGTGGGGATTAAAGTGCCTGGGAGTTGGATTTCCCTTTCTTGTGAGTCATTTTTTATATATGTTGAGGACATTGCCTACTCTTACTTTTTAATGCACTGGTCAACTGATAATGATAAAAGACAAGGTATTTAAATGGAGATACAGGGTGCACGTATATGTAGTTACTGATTTATATGGCCACTGGAGTGATAGATCCCCATTCTAATGTTATAGGGACTTGTGGTGGTGATGGACATGGGTGACAAAAGAATCCAGATTGAAAAAAGATGGATCTCTTTACTAAATGCTTTCCAGGGAACTAAGCTGGGAATTGCATGATGTGGAGATTATTATTTATTTATTTTTTTAAAACTCAACAAACATCGATTGTGTATCTTGGAAGGAAAAAAAAAAGAAACAGAAAAAATACTTCTATATGCATAGTGAAAGAGCACTGTGAGTAAACTGAAATCTGAGTTCCCAAGCATGCCTCCTCAGCAATTGTTTTTCTCTGGTCAGAGGAGAGAACAGAGGTGAAGAGTTTGTTTTCTTGCCTGGCAGAATCACTGTGTATGGTTGTGTGCAGCTGTGTTGTGTGTGCCCATGGATGCCCGTGTATTCATGGTTTGGGCTACATGTGTGGACATGGTTGTTAATGTGTGTGTATGGTAAGGAGCATAACAGAACCCCAGAGAGGCAGGAGAACCAACATCTCTTTCTTCCTCCTGGCTTGATGTGGGGCTTATGAGAACATGATGTGACCAAGGATATAACCAAATCAAACACAATAGGAAACATGAGCTAAAATTAATATGTGTGCTGATGTAAGTAACCCCCTGTAAACTCCCAGAAAACATGGAGGAAGAGAACTTTGCAATTGGCTGAGTTCTCATGACTAAGCTACATATTACAGGGCTATCAAAACCAAAGAGTATGATGCTGGCATAAAAATAGACATGTGGACCAATGGGGCAGCATAGAAATAAATACACACATCTACAATCAACATGCTGAAAATATTCGCTGCAGAAAGGAAAGTCTCTTCAACAAATAGTGTTAGGAGAATGATATTGTCAAGCAAAAGTCTGAAATAATACCCTTATCTTACATTCCCTACAAAAATCAACTCACAATGGATCAAGGATCTACAGTAAGACCTGAATGTATCAAACTACTAGAAGAAAATGTAGGAGGAACACTTCAAAACATTAGTCTATGCAAACATTTATTGACTAACACCCCCAAACCCTAGGCAGTAGCAGCAAAAACAAATAGATTATTTCCAGCTAAGAAGCTTCTACACAGCAAAAGAAACAATTAGCAAAATAGAGACAACTGATAGAATGGGAGAAAACATTTGTAATCCATGCATCTGAAAGAATTAATATCCTATATAAGGAGCTCAAGAAACTAAACAATAACAAAACTAACAATCCAATTAAGAAATTGGCAAAGGATAATAGACATTTTTCAATGGAAGAAATACAACAGATACACAAAAAAAATGTTTAGGGTCACTAGCCATCAGAGAAGTATAAATAAAAAACTACAATAAGGTATCATCACACTCCAGTTGGAATGGCTATTATCAAAAAATCAAAACTAACAATTGCTGGCATGTTTATAAAGAAAACAGTACCCCATTAAGCTGTTGGTGGAAATACAAATTAGTATCATGATTATGGGAAACAGAATAGAGATTCCTCAAAAAACTAAAAATGGGGGCCGGCGCCATGGCTCACTTGGTTAATCCTCCACCTGTGGTGCCAGCATCCCATATAGGCACCGGGTTCTAGTCCTGACTGCTCCTCTTCCAGTCCAGCTTTCTGCTGTGGCCTGGGAAGGCAGTGGAGGATGGCCCAAGTGCTTGGTCTCCTGCACCTGCATGGGAGACCAGGAGGAGCTCCTGGCTCCTGGCTTTGGATTGGCATAGTTCCAGCTGTAATGGTCGTTTGGGGGGTGAACCAACGGAAGGAAGACCTTTCTCTCTGTCTCTCTCTCTCACTGTCTAATTCTGTCAAATAAAAAAAAAAAAACACTAAAACTGTTCCTATCATGTGAC